ATACAACTTACTCCTGACATTAACCCCGACCAAAGAGCACAGTTTCATGGGAAAATGGGAAATTGCCCTGAGATGCACCTTTGACAAGGCGGAATGGGAAAAAATATGCTACCTCACACATCACTGCTCTAGTTTTAGTAGGATACAAGAAACAGTATACAAATTACCGACCTTCTGGTATCGCACCCCCTCGACGTTAAACATGATTACCCTAGACCACTCCCCACTGTGCTGGAGAATGCAGGAATGCAGGAAGATCCTCCCGTACTGGAAGGGGATTCACACAATGCTGAAGCTCTTCTCAGACGACCCACCCCTCTTTGATCCCGCAGAAATGTTACTACATCACACCAAGGCCACACGGACTCTCTACAAGAAATCTCTTACAATACGTATCCTGAACATAGCTAGAGCAGTGATACCACAACACTGAAAACAAATGACAACCACAACACTGAGATCTTGGTTCTCTCAAATGGAAGAACTGAGATCCCTTGAGGACCTCCACACAACTGCAGCTGGCACACACCAAACATACCTGAACATATGGACACACTGGCTACTGACGACGACAAAACAAGACTTCACCGACATGCTCCGGGACTAAAAACGTGGACAAACCTCCGACCCCACACTTCATGGACACAGACGAACACCTGACCTCCCAACACCCACCCCACTTTCCCACCCCCCCACCTCAAACATGACCCTCACCTACAAATCACGACCCTAGCAGGACGGCAGGGATTTAAATAGAGGATCCCTAAAACTAGGTGACGTGGCAGACATACTTCATAGGAGCCCAGTGCACTGACATGGGCTCTACTCCCAGTGTGAAACACAGGGGACGTGACTGGGGCACCGTGGGCCCATTACAGACGTGTGCTGGTAACCCCACCACAGATTCTGGCACCTTATAAGGATAGGGTTAGACAAGACTCACTAGAAGCCTCCAGATCTCACACCATAGCTAACCAACAGACCCGGGCTCTAATCCGGCTACACCCTACTTACCTTGAAATGCCAAGCGACTGACACAATGCACCCACCACACCTAAACCATTCACCATCACGGGACCTGCGTGCCCCCAGACACCAAGGGCCTGCGTGCCCACATTGTAATACGTCTACTAATGCCTGTCACTCTTCCATCTCTATGATATAAAATGGACCTGCGCATCCTTCACCCACACCCTTCCCTCCATGATAATGATTTAACAACTAAACACCTTATCTGCAAACACAAGGTGGGTCTGCGAGCCCAGACGACCACTTGCAAAACGTGAAAATACTTTTCTACACATGGGGTGCTCTTGTTATGACATTCCATTTGCTTACAGAGACCTGCGAGTCTCAACGTTATTTTTCTGTGACAAAACAAATAAAAATCATATATACAAAAAAAGAAGCACAAAAGCATTCTCTGAATATATTGGACTGTATTATTGGTTCAACCTATTTTTGCTTGTATCCTGCAATACTTACTGCTTAAATTACTGTTAATGGTTAGTATCTTCATCTCCAATGTTAAAATTAGTGCAGAAGCCACCAATATTGTGGGTACTATACCGCAATATTAGTATAAGGAAAGTTTAATACCTCCTTTATGTCTCCACCCACTAAGCTACAGTTGTGGATAGGAATACTAAATAGTGACCGATACACTATAGAATAGACTGCATTTATCCAACAGTGTGGTGAAACCAACCTCGCCACTGGGCATTGGAGAAGACTAATTGCCAGCCTCCTGCCATGTGACTATGGCCTCTGGGATGTATTGCCCTTTAAAGACATTATTTGGGCTTATTGGATTTTGAAACACTTTTTCTGCCCCTTTGAATACATGAGAAGGTGTGCCCCTCCCCCGTTTCCTGTCTATTGTTCTCCAGCAGGGCGTTGTCCCAGGGACACTGCCAGACCAGTTGGAACTTGTTGCTATGGTTTAACCTCATGGCGATTTGACTGTATTTGTGGATCTGAGCGCTGTTTGGATATAGTGAGCGCTCAGATCCAAGCTATCTGGGAATAGGTTGAATGTGGGGGTTCTGTTAAGTATAATAGGAATTATGTATTTTTATGTGTTTTTACTGTTGTTGTGCATAGAGCTATTTTCTGTATGCTGGAGGTAATTGGCTTCCCACACCCAAGCCATGCTTGCAGACGGTCACAAAGGGACTTTCAACTAACCTTTGACCCACTGGACCAATTTGTATGATTTTGACGTATTTTTGTATTTGGAGTATGCTGATTCTGAAAATGTATGAAAGAATATGTACAATATGAATATTGTGTAAAACGGTGTATTTTCCTTCCTGTGATAATTACATTAGACCATTGTGTTCAGTAATTATATCACAGGAAGAGGGGAGGATTTTGTGTGGGAGTGTCTGAGTGTATTGTACGTGTTGATTGGTTGTTCTTCAAAACCCTGTGGGCAGTACTATGTGTGTAAAATGTGCATAAAAGCAGAGTGTTTGATTAAAAGCTTTAGTTCTACTTCACCCTCAATTTGGAGTGCCATCTCTTATTGGGGGAATCTGCTACAAGGGATTGCTATGCTCTGCATACTCTCTTGTTATGTTCACTGCTAAGCTCTTGTAAGAGCTTGTTCCTGTCCTGTTCTCTGAAGGAGTCCATGGTGGTTATGGTGTCGGTTGGAGTGCTTGGAGCCCTCAGTAAGCGCTAGGAGCATCCTACAGCGGAGGTACCCAGTTGGGGTGCCAGGTGATCCGTTACAAACAGCATATCTTTAAAGCAGTAAAATGGTGCAAATCAGAAGTGGCAAGCCTCCACTGATTGTTCCAAAAAATATAAAGGTGATGTCATGAAATATTTATGATGTCACAGATCAAGAACATTAATATACAGCACATATCTTATCCAGTCAAATATCTAGTGCAATGACTAATCGTGCGCACACTTGACTCAGATTTGATTCTACAATATAAAGGTGAAAGATTATTCTCTTTGTAACATCACCTTGCTCTAGGCATTGCCTCTTTAACATTTTATATTTTTACTAACTATTCTGATTGACATCCACAGTGTTCCATTAGCCGCACATAACTTGAGTGATGTCAAGCTGTCTTTTGGATGTCATAGATAAAGACACTCAGCACAGTTCACATCTTAGCCAGTCTGTAATCAAAAACACAAACTGAATTAAATGTGATTTGGATGAAAAAATTTACAGCTGGATATTCTCTAAACTGGGGTTTTGAAGACTTCGCAAAACAGATGTTTAATCATTTGCCAGAACATAGCTGAAACATAACAGAGCTAAAACATAGCAAATTAAAAGAAATGTTCCATTGTAACTCTTTTGGCATAAAGTGAAATTCCATACTGAGGTCTGCCGATGGTGTTTCTGGTTTTAACACTCTGTGAAGACGCGTTTCATGTGGATGTTTGAAAATCCACATTAACCTTGACAATGTGATGCTAGACCTGCTCTCTTGTTTCTCTTTAACATTGTGTTCGTCTCTCTCTGTGTATATTTTTTAGGATATTTACCTCTCAGATGGTCACATTATCTCTCTAACTGTATGTTTGTCTCTCAGTGGTTGATTTACTGACCCAAGCATGATAGTATATTATTGGGTTTTCTCCGAAATACTACAAATCTTTGGCAGTTATCAAATATCAAATGATTCTAGCATACAGTAGCCTACAAACTCAACTTGCATCCCAATAAAACACCTTTAAAGCATGTATACACATACTTTAAACTATTCTTTTCAACTGTATTTTATTGAAATGTTTTATATTTTATAGGGGTATAAAAAAAGAAAAGATGAAAAATAAAATAAGGGGAAAAAAACAGGGGCAAACAGATATCTATTACCCTTTACTATACCAAACCTCTCAGAAATTCAAAGAGACATAAACAGCAGTTTTATTTATGTATATACATGGGCATGAATACCTAGGTCTATTCTTACAGGCATTCTAAAGAAGGAGTTTAAGATTACCCAATATAACAACTTTCTTCCAAGCATTTAATAGGGACCTACTTTCATACTAGCTTTACTTTCTTTTGGTACAGTGATTAAATATTCTTTTTTAAAGAGTATTAGATTCCCTGTAAGCCTATAGGGTCTTCTGATTTGAGCGCTATGATGTGTGGGGTGGACGTGGTTTACTATACTTATGATTTAGGTTCTGCAAATGTGTTGACTCGTGTTTTATTAAAACTTTTGTGGGTTGTATCTTGTTGGCCACTCCAACACCCCATAATAACATAGGGCTCTCTGGGACAGGCCGTGGTTCACTAATTGTAGACACGGTTTTATACTTTCCTACAGGTAGATTTATTTTAAATGTATTCTCCTTGGGTGCCTGAATTATTGCGGATTCTTTTATATGTCAGACTATGTGATCACAATATGCGCATATCGAATGGCGCTTAATAAGTTGCCTTTGGTCTCATGTCCTCTGTTGTTTACAAGGTGGGTGACCTAGGGTTTCCCTGGTTACCCAGATGTTCCCAACCAAACTAAACGATGGTGGGAGGGGGAGTGGTTACCCCCTGTCTTTGATTGGTATTATCTATATATATGCCTTGTATGTAGTGACATTGATTCACCCTTGACAAAGGCTAGTAAAGCTGACATGGGTGGTTTTGGTGTAGCTCTGTCACAGTGAAAAGGTAACACATTTTATGTACAGCAACTTTCTTAGTATTTGACATGTGTCTTATAAATTAATTTTGCATTGTGATACAAATTCCATAGTGATGCACTCATAGTTCTGGTCGCTGTGATTTGTATGTACTTGTGTAAGTATATTAAGTGTGATTTATTTATTAATTTTCATGTTATCAAAAAAAAAAACTGATGTTTTAATCTACATCAGGTGGTAAGTTGGCTTATGTATACTATTTCTTCCAAGTGTGCCATAGACCTGTGCATTCAGTTTCAAATGAAATGCAATTTGTCCAAGTTTTAATTAACTGACCGGTCATCTGAATTCAGTGACTATAGAGTATCATATGGACATACAGTGTTGTTGCAGACCTGGCACTGGGAGCCCCCTGCCTATTACAGTAATGGGCAAGGGCTTCCAGTGCCAGGACTGCCACAACAACCACTTACACATCTATAGGGCTTCTAGTGCCAGGATTGCCACCGCAACTACTTACATATCTATAGGGCTCCTAGTGCCCGGACTACCACCACAACCACTTAAACATCTGTAGGGCTCCCAGTGCCAGGATTGCCACCACAACCACTAGCACATCTATAGGGCTCCCAGTGTCCGTACTGCCACCACAACCACTTACTAGACATGTGCAATTCGCTTCATGCAATTCAGATATTCGGATGCTTACGAATATCCGAAGTTCCAAATTACCGAAGTTCCGAATTGCCGAAGTATGGTAGTTTAGAAGTGCCAAACCGAACCGAATGCCATTGGTCCAAATTGCCGAAGCAGACAGATTTTTTTACTTACTCAAATTTCCTCACCAAACCGAACCAATTTTTTTGCCCATGCACATCCCTACTGAAAACACCTTTGTAATACATTTATGTACAGTTGTTTCTGATCTTGAAAAATGGTCAGATCCTCTAAATCTTAAATAATCAAATGAATACTATAGGTACCCAGACCATTTCATCTCAATGAAGTTGTCTGGGTGCCATATCCCCAACATTTTAACCCTGCAATTGAAAACATTGCAGTCTGCAGAAAAGAAATGTTTTCATTGCAGGGTTTAATTTCATCAAATGGCTGTCAGTCATACAGCCACTAGAGGCCCTTCTGAAGAAATAAAACTGCTATTTCTATCATATGGTCTAATGCACATTAGCATCCCAATGCTTTCCAATTTGAAAATTGTCTGAGAATATAAATCTCAATGATCTCAGCCAAGGAGGTGGGACGAGCCATGGAGACCAGTATTGTGAGGGAGAAAAGGTAAGTAAAAGTACTTTTTTTTCCCTGTAAGGTGAGGACCGGCATTCCTAACACTATAGTGTTCCTTTAATTTAAGACCAAATATGATTAACATTTCATACATATAGTTACAGTTACAGAGCTGAAAAGAGACTTGCGTCCATCAAGTTCAGCCGTCCTCACATATGTTTTTGCTGTTGATCCAAAAGAAGGCAAAACATCCAGTCTGAAGCACTTCCAATTTTGCAACAAACTAGGAAAAAAAATTCCTTCTTGACCCCAAAATAGCAGTCAGATGTCTCCTTGGATCAAGCAGCTATTACCCCACTAATTAGATATTATATCTCTGTATGCTATGCTTTTGCAAGTATTTATCCAATTGCAGTTTAAACATCTGTATAGACTCAGACAAAATCACCTCTTCAGGCAAAGAATTCCATATCCTTATTGCTCTTACTGTAAAAAAAAAACTTTTCTTTGCCTTAGATGAAATCTCTTTTCTTCCAGCCTAAATGTGTGACTTTGTGTCCTATGTATAGCCCTGTTTATGAATAGATTTCGAGATAATGGTTTGTACGGGCCCCGAATATATTTGTATAATGTTATCATATCCCCTCTCAGGCTCCGTTTTTCCAAACTAAAAAGATTTAATTTTTTTAACCTTTCTTCATAACTAAAATGTTCCATTCCTTTTATCAATTTTGTAGCTCGTCTCTGCACTTTTTCTAGTGCCATGATATCTTTCTTTAGAACAGGTGCCCAATATTACAAGGCATATTCAAGGTGTGGTCTTACCAGTGATTTATAAAGAGGCAAAATTTTATTTTCATCTCGAGAATTTATGCCCCTATTTATACATGACAAAACCGTACTGGCCTTAGCAACGGCAGATTGACATTGCATGTTGCTGCCTAATTTGTTGTCTATAAAAATTCCCAAATCCTTCTCGTGTGTGGTTATCCCTAGTTCACTACCATTTAGGGTGTAAATTGCTTGTACATTCTTAACCCCGAAGTGCATAACTTTGCATTTCTCTGCGTTAAATTTCATCTGCCATTTTAGTGCCCAGACCCCCAATCTAGCCAAATTCATCTGCAGCAAGGCAATACCCTGCTCACATTTTATTACTTTACAAAGTTTTGTGTCATCTGCAAACACTGATACATGGCTTTCAAAGCCTATTTCAAGATCATTTATAAATATGTTAAATAGAAGCGTCCCCAAAACAGAACCCTGAGGGACACCACTTACCACTTTTGTCCAGCTTGAAAATTTGCCATTAATGACAACTCGTTGTACTCTATCCTTAAGCCAATGTTCTACCCAAGAACAAGAATATTCATCTAGACCAATTTCTTTTAGTTTGAAGACTAACCTATTGTGAGGAACCGTATCAAATGCTTTGGCAAAATCCAAGTAGATCACATCCACTGCAACACTCTGATCTATACTTCTACTTACTTCTTCGTAGAATGCAATTAGGTTAGTTTGACATGACCTATGTTTCATAAAACCATGCTGATTATTGCTAATAAAACAGTTCTTCCCAATGAATTCCTGAATATTATCCCTTAATAGCCGTTTAAATAATTTCCCAGTCACAGAAGTTAAAGGACCACTCTAGGCACCCAGACCACTTCAGCTTAATGAAGTGGTCTGGGTGCCAGGTCCTTCTAGGGTTAACCCATTTTTTCATAATTATAGCGGTTTCAGAGAAACTGCTATAATTATAATAGTACTTCCCATTCTACAGTGGCTGCATGCCAAGGCGGCGCCTGGCGTTTTGCCACACGGTGAGGAGACTGCACTTCCAGCATCCAGCAAGAGGCATTGTAAGTAGCGCTTTCCCTGTAGAATTGACTACGAGGCTCGCGGCGCGGCTAACGCGCGTGGCATTCAACCCGGCGAGCAGGCGGAGAGGAGGAGGAGAGCTCTCCGCCCAGCGCTGGAAAAAGGTAAGTTTTTACCCCTTTCCCCCTTCCAGAGCCGGGCGGGAGGGAGACCCTGAGGATGGGGGCACCCTCAGGGCACTATAGTGCCAGGAAAACGAGTATGTTTTCCTGGCACTATAGTGGTCCTTTAAGCTCACAGGTCTATAATTTCTAGGTAAGGATTTTGAACCCTTTTTAAATATAGGAACAACATCTGCCTTTCTCCAATTCTCCGGTACAATACCTGAAACAAATGAATCTTGAAAAATTAAATACAGAGGTTCACTTATTTCCCCACTGAGCTCTTTAACTACTTGTGGGTGGATACCGTCAGGCCCTGGAGCTTTATTTACATTCATTTTCTTTAATATCTGTAGCACCTTGTCTCGAGTTATCCAATCACAAGTTATCTGCAAGTTTGTTGCAGCAATCATTTGCTTATCTCTTGCCAAAGGATCCTCATTAATATACACTGAAGAAAAATAGTTATTTAAAATGTCTGCCTTTTCCTGGTCTTCATTAACTAACAGACCTATCTCTGTGTTCAGTGTACCTACACTTTAATTTTTTGTTTTTTTAGAATTGATGTACTTGAAAAAAATTTTGGGGTTGGTTTTGCATTCTTTGGCTATCAATTTCTAATTTTCTAGTTTAGCCACTTTAATTGCCTTTTTGCAAGTATTATTGGCATCCTTATATCTATTATAAAGAATGCTTTAAATGCCCTTTTCTTATTTTTAATCTCTTGTTTTACTTCTCTACTAAGCCACATTGGTTTTAATTTGTTTCTTTTATATTTATTACCCAAGGGTACATTCCGTGAAATGTACCTTTCTAATATTTGTTTGAATAGTTTCCATTTTTCCTCAGTGTTTTTATCACTAAGGAGTTTATGCCAGTCGATATGTTGTAGAGCTGTCCTGATCTTATTAAAATTGGCTTTTTTTAAATTATACATTTTAATATACCCCACGTGCTTTTGCTTTTTTGAGTTTATTTCAAAAGTTACCATATTGTGATCACTATTTCCCAAATGCTCCCCTACTTGAATGTTGGTTAAAAGATCATAATTGTTTGTTATAACGAGATCCAGAGAAGCATCCTTTCTAGTTGGTGCTTGTACCAGTTGTGACATAAAGGTGTCATTTAACACGTTCAAAAAACGGATTCCCCTTGCTGAAGTACTAGTCCCTCTATCCCAATTTATGTCCGGGTAATTAAAATCTCCAATAATTAACGTGTTACCCCGATTTGCAGCTTTCCCAATTTGCTCTAACAGCAGTTCTTCCTGATTAATATTTACATTTGGTGGTTTATAACATATCCCAACCAATAATTTATTTCCCTTTGTTTGCCCCAAGCAGATATCTACCCATAAAGCTTCCACATTTTCCTCGTCACACTCCACATGCCTAAGAATTTTTCCTATACTTCCTAAATAACGTGTACCCATTTACGTTAACTGCCCAGTCATGTGTCTCAGCCCACCATGTTTCTGTTAAATAATGCACACAAAAAAAAAATTGCGTTTAAAATCACTTTAAAAACTTTAAGTGAATAACCCGTAACTGAACTCAACACATACACTGCAAGTATGCGTTGCTTCTCGGCTCTTTAGCAACTTATCTGATAGGTCTTGGTAATAAAGGACCCTCATTCTTGGTTCAATACTGGTCGGGTCCCCGAGGGTTGAAAAGAATTGCAGAATAAGTGAGGAGAAGGAGGACCAAGGATGCTCTACTCTGCACTTCTACTGGTGCAGACTATTCCTCCTGTTAGCTTCAAGGTTTAGAGCGTTGCTGCAGGTTACCACAGCAACGCTCCAACACAGCACAGTGCCGAAGATCATGAGAAGAGTGATCCCGGCCTGAAACAGGAGATGCAGCTCTAGAGTTACCAAACACCACCAGACCACCAGGGCTTTCAATGTCCCCCCTGTCTGGCTAAAGGTAAGACGAAGGGTGGTGGAATAAAACTTGATTTATTTTTATTATTTTTTTTGAAGATATTTATTTATATAGTTAATGAATCCCCTCTCATCCCCCACCACACACAATATAGGCCCAGCACATTTATACACACAAGAAGGGGAGTACATACCAATTAGTAAATAAATGTAACAGGGGCTAAAGTTGTTTAGTTCTTTATAGGTAATGGTTAGTATTTTGAAATTACTCCTATAGGGTATAGGAAATCAATATCAGGATTGACAGAGTGGTGAGGTGTGGGAGGAGGAAAATAGGGAAAAATCAGCCCAGCA